AGCACCCGCATTACCGATCTCCTGCCCCGCACCACAAGAGAGCCCTTCGATAACAACAAATGACGATTAGTATGACCATCGAAAAGGGAGCAGGTGGAACGCACTGTCTAAGTTTCTCTACGCCACGTTTGGCTCAAGCCTGGTGTCGCAACATCCCTGCCTAATTTCCAAGCGCCGATGACCCATTACGGCGTCAATCGAACTGTCCGTGGAAGTGACCACCCAAGCCCGCATCAACTGCTCCAAAAGCCTCACTTTCGTTTCTATGCTCTCGCCACGCTTCACGTTGTTCACCAGGGAGGCCGACAAACCCAACACCTACAATACATTTCAATGAGGACTGTCACAACTTCGACTAATGAATAAACCATGCATCTATCTGAACAGCATAACATCTGCACTAGTGCACAGCTTATCTCAGCACGGCCGATGTTGATTAGAGACCAGAAGAACACTCGAAGCGTGATGTGTGACAGTACTTGAGGAGCATACCTTAGGTCCTCGAGAATAATCTGGAAGCCATCTACCAGGTGGAAAGCTATGAAGGTGTTGGCATATGTCGGTGTAGTCGGATTTCGAGTCCGGATCAGCGTGATGACACTCGTCGAAGATGATGAGACAAACGTCATTCAGACTGAGTTTGCGATGATTTAAAACGTCGCGGAGGACATCGGCAGTAGTCACCAATACCCTATGCCTTTCCAGCTGTTCTTGCCAAATAGCCTGCCATCCACATCATACCAATTAGCATCGACACACGAAGAATAATTGCAAAGAGAGACAGGAGGAACGAAAGGGAGAGAGAAGACATTGGTATCTCACTTTTGTCCAGCTGTCGATCCAGATAGTGAGCGCCACCTGGCCGTGGTGAATCTCCAGTTCCTCAAGGTAAACAATCAGTTTAGTAAGCAGGATCTTGACCACCTGATTAAATAAATGAATAAGAGGCAAAGCAAAAATTAAGCCTCTTCTGAAGGAGAAGTGGATGCAATTTGGCAGTAAGTATAACCTTTTGCAGCGAAACGACAGTTTTCCATGATCATGATGACGTTTTTACGTAACATAACGAACGAAAACGTTTCGCGGAAGGCTTATACTAAAAGTAAACTTTCTCTTTTAATCAATATGTTCTGAAATCGAATTTAGAAGATTGTACTATAACTAATCGACCACAATGCTTTCAAAAATCGCCTTTTAAAACAGCAGCAAAGTACATGTGCCACAGCGCATTTAAAGATAAGTCAAATATCATTTTAAAGTAAAGATATTCTTGATGATAAAATGCAGCGCAGAGCCCTCTCAGCTCATAAGGAATGCTGGAAGTGTCGATAACGATAATTATTTGAGACTATGAAGTTGCTATGACTTGACAAAAAAGGTTAGTCAGACACAAGCACAAATACTCCCACCGCCTCACGTTACCTCTCACTTTGAAAAACTGGCTTTTGTGCAAACCTGCATTAACAATTATTAACTTAATCAACGGGGAGCTGATTGATACGTACATGATTATTCGAAGTTCAGAATACCGACTTCTGCGTAT